AAAATTACAGTTATGAAGTAGCAACGAAAATAATTTTATGGTTGGGGGTCACCACAACATGAGGAACTGTATTAAAGGGTTACGGCATTAGGAAGGTTGAGAACCACTGAGTTAGAGGGTCTCCCAGGATCGCCAGCTGGCCCAGTGCGGCTCTCAGCATCGGGGAGATGCTGCTCCCCCACATGTGGGAACCACTGGCCCAGGTGGAAAATTATTTGCCTTTGAGGCTCTGGGCTATTTACCATAAAGCAATAGAAGCTTATTTTAGTTCTCGAAGTTCAAAATTCTGTATATAAAGTTAATTAGGCAAATCTATTTTTAATCTAAAATCTTCCTTTCCTAGAGACTTGATGGGCCCTATAAATATTGTCGGAAGGTATTCCTTTTAGGGAGAAGGAAGAGATGAGAAAGAGTATTTCCTTTTAGAAATCCTGTTTTGAGTCATGGTCATATTATTCATCCAGCAAGGAAGAGATTGCTAGCGACCTTTTAGAAAGCTAGAAACGAATCTGTCTCAGCCCAGAGATGTTAAGTTCTTTCCCAAAGGGCACAAGCTCATGGATAGCAGAACAGGCTTTCCAATTCGGGGCTGTCTGACGGTGGATCCCAAGGTTTTTTCCCCCTATTGCTTAATTCAGGGGTCCTCAAACTATGGCCCGTGGGCCACATGCAAATACAAATATTGTATTTGTTCCCGTTTTGTTTTTTTACTTCAAAATAAGATATGTGCAGTGTGCATAGGAATTTGTTCATAGTTTTTTTTAAACTATAGTCCGGCCCTCCAATGGTCTGAGGGACAGTGAACTGGCCCCCTGTTTAAAAAGTTTGAGGACCCCTGGCTTACATCATACTGGTACATTCCACTACACTCATAAAGCTACACTTATGGACTCCACTGAAAATACAGATTATATTTCCCCCCTACAGCAAGGTGATAAAGTTGTTAATCCAATCACTTCTACGCTCTGTCTCCTTTGTGTCAACAGACACGTCTGTGAGGCACCTGGCCAGGTCAGGGTGGAGTACTGTGAGTTTAGGTGGGTCTTTAACTTAATTATCTCTGGATTCTTCCAGGCAATGTGACGACACAGGCTCATTCCTTGTAGGTGAGATAAGCGTATGGTGGAATGGAACTGTTTCAAATGTCTTACCAGCACTTAGCACTGGTCATAATTCTTATGTGATAAGTAAAACGTTAGTGTGAGAAAAACACTGCAGATGGGCAAGACCAATTGTGATACGCCTCTCAAGGGCTCGGAGAGTTCTATTTTCTTCCGAGCCATATCTCATGCATTGTCTTTCCTGAGAACCACTGGCCAAATCTATGCAGTATGGGCTTTAAAAATCTATGCCATTTCTTTGTGCTTTCCTCCTGTCGGCCTCTAAATGGATACATTTTGCCATTTTAAATTTCAGGTTCCCTTCTTCAACCTCCATAAAAGCAAAGTGTGTTTCTCCTTTGAGTCCCCTCTTTTAAATCTTTGTGTTACAACATCATGGACCACCTGATAGTTAAAACTAAAATAACAATACAACAAAACAGCCTCACTTTCTAAACAGGCCCTCAGCGCACGTTTCCCACGCCCTTGTTGGCCCTTCACTTCCTTTCCCTCATTTAGATTTGTAAGCGCAACGCACAGGCACTTTATGTACAGCTGGTGCCTAGCACTAGTCTTGGATTTAACAAATATTAAATAATCGTGACTTCAGAATGATTATTTGTATTGGCATTTAAAAAAATCACAGCTGGCCAAGAATACAGCCCTTTTCACTCAAGTGCCCTTGTCTGGTTTTGACACTCTTGGAGTAGACAGCTGTACGATAGCGTACGTACGTACCTTTACCCTTGAAGATCATGTGGAGACCAGAGCTGGCAATAACTGTGGCTGCTCTTCCTCTCGGAAACACATTTACAAACTCTGCTCTGCATACCAGTTTGCTTGCGGATGCAATTTCAGTTGCGTATATGTAATGACCTTCACGTAACTAGAGAAACCCAGATACAATTTTATACAGTGCTCCATTATGATAGAATGGTCTCACTGGGTTAACTTTGGATGTTTGTAATAAAAGGTTGTTGTGTGTTTTTTAAAACCTTTCAATTATTGCAGATACAATTTTATACAGTGCTCCATTATGATAGAATTGTCTCACTGGGTTAACTTTGGATGTTTGTAATAAAGGTTGTTTTGTTTTTTCTTTTAAACCTTTAAATTATTAACTTGAGCATTCATGACCTGCAGTGTGGGCTTTAAAAATCTATGCATTATGTACTCATTGATTGTGTAGTGGCATTTACATCGTTAAGTTTTAAAGTGAAGTCCTTAATTGTACCTCTTTTCAGGTTTAAAAAAATTAGTCTGTATATCTTCCCTAAACCCCTTTAAATTGGCAGACTGATTTTGGACTACAGTTTTACGGGGCAACTCATAAAAATAAGTGCCAAACACTGGCAAAAAATAGAAGGAATTGACGTGGATCAAAAGTTTAACAGTGCATTTCCTTTTAGAAATGTCAGCATCCGCTTTCTGACAATAAGGAAATAAAGAAGGCTGTTCTCTCCCATTGGCCCAATATTTCAAATGTGAACAAATCAATGCAAGAAAGCAGTTATCTCAGTGTGAGGGATACAATAATGTAACTAGATAGAACAGTTTCACTTGTTAGCTTAATCTATTTTTTGGATTTACGTATTTATTTAATTTTATGTTGACGGCAGAACCAAGTTTAGCAATATTGATACATGAGAGAAGAAAAAAGGAAGGTCTTAGAACCAGTTCTAAAACACCTAAGCATTTACATGCCATCTACATTAATGTCTTTCTGACTTACGTGGCAGCATCCTCAAAACGGAATTTATGTAAAATCAAACCTAAAAGTCTGATTCTAATTGTGCTTTTGATACACTGCATCTAAGTGGTTCCATGAGCTCTCTCCTATGAACACACTGTCTCTCTCCCTGGGTGTCTGCCACTGGCTTCTCCACGGGACTCTCACGAATGCTACTTGCAGGTGAATACAGAATTTCCTAGCAGAGTGTGCTCACTGAGAACGATACCGTGTCTAAACTACAGCCACTCTCCTGAGACTCTTACTGCCCTGACTACAAGGGTAGAGGTTACTGCAACACAATGGGGAAAAATGTGTTGTGGGGAGGGGGAGATAGGTGAGGAATGTCTGTAATGGAATTCAACCTCGCCCACTCTAGAGCTTGTCTTCAGAGGGTTGGAACCACCCGAGAAAATGGTAACCAAAGGAAGCACTTGTCTTAGCAGAGCAGGGCAGCTTCCTGGTGCTTTCTCTCACCCTCGCCATTGTCCTAGGCGGGGTGAATAAATGGAGCAAGTGCTGGCACGTGGATCAAGCTCCCACAAGGCCAGGGAAGAAACCATGTCTGCTTTATTTACCATTGGTATTCCAAGCATCAAGATCAGTACCTGGCACACAGCACATAATACATATTTATTGACTGATTGAAAAGTAGACACTCAATGGGAGTTGTGTGTGTGTGTGTGTGTGTGTGTGTGTGTGTGTGTGAACAAAATGATCCTCTCTCTATAGTTAGAGAGATAAATAGAGAGATAGATACAGATATATCAATCCCTAATCTTGTGTCATAGTTGGACTCATGGGAATTAAAAAAAAAATTATTTTAACTGAATTTTAAAGATGACTCTAAACATCTAATTTACACGATATCTTTAGGAATGTATTAGATTTTACGGTTGGAAAGACCCAGGCTTTTAAAGTTACAAGTAGAATGGTATTTAGGCCAGGACTTAAAATGTATTTCTAGACTTAAAACCCTATGTTCTATGTGTCCTCTAAGAATTTTCTAGATAATATGATGGTTGTAGAGACAGAACAAAGAAACTCTCATTTTTAAACCTGCCTTTATGATACAGCACAAGAGATGGTTTACTTGGATGATGGCTAGTTGACAACAGTTTATTTCAGATGAATTGGCAAATTTTGTGTCTCATTCTGTCGTCCATGTTATACCAAGCACCCTGTTGGTGCTCAGATGGTAATAAAACAGCAATGCATGCCCATATCAGATGTCCCAGATGTTCAATGGTGATTAGCATTATTAACATATGCAGATAAGTAGATTATAAATAGGGGGAAAATTAGCTTTAAATTGAAGTTAAATGATAGCTTAGAGGTGAGCTAGTCATTTTGTTGGTGGATCAGATACCAGCTTTAAATTGAAGTTAAATGATAGCTTAGAGGTGAGTTATTTTGTTGGTGGATCAGATACTATTATGCCTTACCTGAGGTCATTGGTGCAATTTACTATCACAGTAGAGCATTCAGAAAAAGAGAGCTGGGTTGGCATCTGCAATTCATAACTTTCTGGCTGTGGGGTCTGGGGTTCCTGCCTGCTGCCCATGCTTTGAAGGGCCTTGCCCTAGCTTCACCCTTTCACAAGCCTCAAGGAGTTCCCAACTCTCTGAGCACCCGGAACCCTGGAACTTACTGTCCTGCCACTTGGAGGCCTGATCTTCCAAGGCTGGACCAGGGCTGCAGGACTCACCAGGGTGGCTTTTGTGAGGGGTCTGATGGAGTTTCAATGTGGAGGCTGGGGTGTCCTCATGGGTGTGAGCCTTTTTGTGGTATGGGATGGAGCTGAGATGGGAAGAATATGGGGTGCGAGTTTCAGGCCGGAAGCCAGTACTCCCTGCAGCACCATGTCCGGTTAACTCATAGCTTTACATATGTGTGATAGGGTGTATGGATCTCCTTTTGTTAGCTTGTCCCAGGCCCTTCCAAAGTTAAAGGCAGGCCTGGAACTAGGGCAAGTCAGGTCTCCTCTTTTAGTCTCAGTTTCCTCATCTGTAAACAGGATAATAACTGTTCCACTAACCTCGAAGGAATAGGATGATGAGAATGATCTTAAAAATAACTACCATTTGTTGAGTGCATACAATGGTTCAAGCAGTATGTGGGGCACTTTGCATACATTATAATAGAGTCTTACAAATCTTCAGGGCACGCAGTTCTTGTGCATTTTTTATAGAACAGAAAACAGGCTCAGAGAGGTTTTCTCTCCCAGCCCTGCCCCCCACTGCCAGGGACACAAGTGAGATACTATATGTAACAATCTCATACACACAATGTAATACCACAGGTATTCATTCATTTACACTGTGTCTTTGGAAATAGCAGTGAACAAAAGGAACAAAAACCATTGACTTCCGCAGCATACATTATAGTGGAGGAAGACAAACAATAAATAAAACAAATAGCTAAAATGATACAATATGTTAAGATGGTGGCAAGGAAGGGAGAGAACTAAGGCATAGATGTGACAGGGAAAATGACACTTGAATAAAGACGTGAAGGAGGTGAGGAAACAACATCCTAGGTTTTGTTCTGTTTTTGGTGGGTAGGGGGGAGTGTGGGGCTCATTCCGGTGGCAGAGGACCAGCAAAGGGAAAGGCCATGAGACTGGAGCTTGCTCATTGTGTTTCAGAAACAGCATGGAGGCCAACGGGGCTGGAAAAAACGAGGAAGGGATACAGTAGTAGGAGATGGTCAGAGAGAGAAGGGGGGTTGGAACCGGATCCATAGGTATTTAGGCCATAGTAAGGACTCTGGCTTTTAGCTTAAATGAGATGGGGAGCTAGTGGATTATTTTTATTTTTATTATTATTTTTTAAGCAGAGGAGTGACTTGAGCTGGATTGAAAAGACTCAAAGTATACTGCTGGAGGCAAGCGCCCAAAGAGGAAGCTCAGGTGGGTGGTTATTGCAAAATATAGGCACAACTTGATGCTGACCAGGGTCATGGCAGTAGACGTGGTAGATGGAGGTTGGATTCCAGATAAGGTATTTTGAAGGTCGAGCCGACAGGTTTACTGACCCTGTGGGGTGTAAGAGAAAGGGAGGAGTCAAGAAAGACTGCAGTGTTTTTCAGCTGGGCCATTGGAAGGGTGTAGATGGCATGGACTGGAATGGGAAGGCTGTGGGAGGGCGCATTTGGGACAGTAATCTGGAGCCTGGTTTGCACATGTTAATTCTGAGACGTCTATCAGACACCAGATGGAGGTGTCAGGTATTATTTTTTCACCTCATCGGATTTGATTTTCTTCTTCTCTCCTTACAGTGCTATCATGGCACTTATTCGTGTTCTTTGCTTTCAAGGTGGTGGTCCATATCATAGAGAATTTGATGCTAGGGTTCAACCAAGGGGTGAAAGAAATAGGGGGAAGCAGTTTCAGCAAGAGGAATACAAAAGGGTCTACAGATCCAATTTTAACTTGGATCCGGTCTCACAGGGTTGCACAGCCCCTTCTCTAATTAGAAGCCACACAATTTGTTTCATGCCACACAGGTCACTTCAGGACCCCCCACCCCCCAAATGTTTGCTCATGAGTTTAAAATAAACTAGATGTTAAAAAGGTATGTTTGAAAATTTGAAAACAGTTCAATGTACTAGGTCATAAAAGTAACAATCCTCCTCTAAGTATAGCCTCCGCATAGACATCAAAACATGGACTTGTTGGGAAAGGAGGAGGGGGGAGACAGATAAAAATAAAACCCCAGGACCAGACCAGCAGAGCTGTTCCTGGTGCTTGGCTGACCTCACACACCTTGACCTGGCTCAGAAAGGGAGAGGGAGGGGGACGTGAAGCAGCAGGAGTGGTAACATCTTAAAGGGCTAGGTTTCAGTGCTCTCTGCACCAAGGGAGTCCCGCTGGACACTGTGGATAAGGACGTCTGCTCTGCCCAAGGCAAAGCCTGATTGGTCAATGTGTCCGGTTATGTCTCAAAACCTTCCAGGTCTCAAGAACACCTTTAAACCTGGCATGTTTTCGCGTCTGGGGTGGTGTTGGGTCTAGTGTTGACACTGGCACGTTTCCATCTCCTTAATTTCGTGGTCATTCAAGTGTCTGATGGTGCCAGCACGAAGGCTTACCCTGCAGCAAGTGACAAATCAACAAAATAAATCCTTAGAGGATTTATGGTCTCGGGAGCGGCTAGGCGCCAACCCCCGGGTTCAAAACGATTGCCCAGTGCGGTGCCAGGACACCGGGACCCGCGCCACCTCCTCGGGGCCAGGCTGTGCGGGGCTGGGACCCGCCC